ATCAGCCAGGAGAGCTGTGGGAAAAGCGAGCCTCTTCTGATCACTCAGGACTTACTTGAAACAAAAGAAGACCCCAATCTTGTTCAGGTGAGTCCATGTTTTATACATCTTATGACTGCAAGATATAGGCACAAGCTTTCTAAATGTCTCCAGTTTAATAAGGTGCATGACGTGGCACTAATGGCACCTCTTTGTCCATAATTTCTTGCTTTACAGGGAGGAGCAATGCTAGTCAATTACATATACTACACCAAAACATCATTGTTTTTTCTCTTTAGGGATGAGAAGAATTGAACAAAAATAAATTGAACCCCAAACATGGGATGTACTAGACAAATACTCTACCACTCAACCACAACCCCAGACCTACTTGCTCATTATCCTTTTTAGTCTTCTTTTAGTTATGCTTTCAACAGAAATTTCTTAATTTTATAATCTAAATTATTTACATTTTAAAATGCTATTTTCCTATGTGCAGTTTTTTTTTGTTACTTGGATGCCAACTCTGGACTTGCACTTCCCAGAATTATTGAAAGGATAGACTACACTTGTAAAATAGAAAGCAGTTGCATGAATTCATATTTATAGCATTCTTTCTTGTGCTCATGTTGGACTAAGTGTGGGTATTTTTAAATTTCCTCCTTTTCCCATTCAACTATGCTTTCCTTGAAGTTTTCTCTCCTGGACATATGGGAACTGGCAATTTATGGAAAATATTTAAATTTTAGATATAACTTATCAGAGATATTTTCTCAGTGGACTGGTGTACTTCAAATCTTTTGTTCTTATCTGATCTGAGCTATACTGACAATGACTTTGTGTGATTCTTTTGGTTTACTTTTATGATTACAAAAATATTGCCCATTTTATTTCACTTAGAGTTAAGTTGGTTTAGGGCTCATTTTAATTATTAAGATGCTTATCTTGGCATCTCTATTGAATTCCTCTTTGATTTGTAATGAGAACCTAACTCCTTCACATCTTTCTGGTTTTCATCAGGTCAGCCTCTGATAATGGTTGGGTCAGTTGGGTTCTGGGCTTTTGTGACACATGCCACTTAGTAATTTGGCTTCATTCTTATCTATTGCTGCCCCTATACACTAGTCTGTGACAGGTCTGTCACTGTGCTACCCTGGAATGAATGTCAGGGTTTTTTAAAAAATTCTTTTATTTATTTATGTGTGTGTGTGTGTGTGTGTGTGTGTGTGTGTGTGTGGCCAGCTCAGCCCACCAGGGGGCAGGGCTGGCTGGCATGTGGTGCTGGGGGATTGAACCGCGGTCCCTGTGCTTTGCTTTGCTTAGCTTGTTCTAAGTAGGTGCTTTAGACCACTGAGCCATCTCACCAGCCCTTCATATACTTGTTTTGAAACTACTTCATTACTATTTTTTCTCATTAAAATGAATTTTAAAAATATGCCTGCAAAAGTAATCATAAAAAATAGATAAATAAAAGTTTAGCATGCACTGTGGTAACTGAACACTGGAAATTTTAGTACACTATAAGCAATGACTCATAGCTAATAAGAGATTATTTAAAATACAAAGGTATTGGCTGGAGAGATGGCTCAGTTGAATAAGCATTTCCCTGACAAGTGCAAGAGGCTGAGTTCATCCCTGGTTCCACCAAAAGAATAAATAAATAAAATACTAAGTTATTGAAATGCAATTTGGAAATTTTTACTTGGCCTAAAATTGAACAATCATATTTAGATTCTGGCATGTAGAATATATTTCAGAATCAAAGTGGTATGTACTTTAACACCTAAGGTCCACAGTAATGTATAACCTAGTATAACAAGGAAAAATATGTTTTTGTTCAAAGTGCATTGAATTTCTTTTAGCAAATATTTCTGATTAAACAAATTATTACATATCCAGATGATGAATCCTACATAGCTATTATAAATATGTTTGATGTACTGAGAAACTTCTTTATGTATTGATTCCAAATTATCTTCAAGATATGATTCCCTACTATATATGACACAGATGTGATATCACACACATATATGATGAATGAAACAAAGCAAAGTCCATAACAGAATATGCTGTGTGCTTATGTTTGCCTCAAAAGAAGGGATGACATTTATAAAATCTGCCACATTCTACAAAAACATATCTGGAAAGATATACAAGATAGGTAAGTTTTTCAAAAAAATGTCATACAATTCAGGGATGTTAGTTAAGAACCTATGGCATATATACTTTTTTCTTTTTATATATACTTTTTGAATTTGGAAAAATATAAATATACTAGTTATTTAAAAGCAAATGAATATTCTTTATAAATTCACAAAAGCATTTGGGACCTTTATAAATGTGCAGTTTCCTGAGAATACCTCTAAGAGCTGCTATAGGACAAAAAAAGGATGACTAAGTCCTTGACTCCTTTGGGAGACTCCTAGGGTAATTTCCTGCTTAAAGGAATCACTGGGCGTGGTGGCACATGCCTGTAATCCCAGCTCTTGGGAGGTTGTAAACTGGCAGATCATTCATTATGAGTGCAATCTAGAAGTAAGATCCTGGGTACCACAGGAGACACTTCCCTAAAATAAAAAATACAAAAAAATAAATAAATGGAGAAATCGTGCAGAAGAGACCAGTATCAATTCAGGTGCGGAAAATACAGTCAGGAAAAATCACCCTAGTGGGGAATTAGCCATCCACAGAGAGCTGATTCCTCCTATCCACAAAGGAGCAGCAGCAGACAGAGGCAGAGGATGAGACCAAGAGCGGAGGTGAGCACCAGGATTCTGTGGCTGCAGGTAATGTTGTCCTTCCTGCTCTCTTTGCTCTGCTGGGCTCTCCCAGGCCAGATCCGGTATTCGAGTCCGGAGGAGCTGGCCAAGATGTCAGAGGTAGGAAACCTCACCAAGGACCTAGGGCTCCATGTAAAAGACTTCTCTGCCAGGAGCTGGAGGTTAGTGCAGAGAAGGAATACTTTACTGTAAACACAGAAGGAGGGACTTGCTTGTGAACTACAGAATAAACTGAGAGCAGATTTGTGGGAAACAGCTTCTGTGTGTCGAGGATTTTGATGTTGTTGCTGAAAATCCATTGAATATTTTCCACGCACCAGTAATTATTCAAGATATAAATGACAACATTCCGCTATTCAAGCAAAGTAAGATTGACTTAAAAATTGGGGAATCCACTAAGCCAGGTAAAACATTTCCTCTAGATCCAGCCCTGGATTCAGACGCTGGGCTTAACTCACTGCAAAGATATCTTCTTCATGACAATGAGTACTTTGATTTTGCAGAGAAACAGACTTCCAATGGACATAAATATCCTGAGCTTTTTGAAACATATACTGGACAGAGAACAGTATAATTTTCATCAGTTGGTCCTCACTGCTATGAATAGGGGAAAACCCACCTTGAAACAGCACCACCCAAATCCAAATTGAAGTCACTGATGTCAGTGATAACTCTCCAGTGCTCACCCAGGATGTGTGCAGGATCACATTGCCAGACATGGTTCCTCCAGGTTTCTCAGTGCTACAGGTGGCAGCCACCGACCAGGATGAGGACATTAATGCAGAGATCACCTACTCCTTTCACAAAATGGACAAACAGGTACAACAGCTTTTCAACTTAAATGAAAGAACAGGAAGGATCGCCACAAAGGATCATCTGGATTTTACAATTGCTAACAGTCACACCCTAAATATAGAAGTGAAAGATCCTGGAGGGGCAGGGGAGATGGCTCAGTGGAATAAGCGCTTGCCTGGCAAGTGCAGGGGCTTGAGTTCAATCCCCAATTCTGAAAAAAAAAAAAAGATACTGGAGATCTTTCATCCCATTGCAGTCTTCAAGTCCAAATACTTGATGAGAATTGTGCATCTGAAGTGACTGTGACTTCAGTATTTCTCCACTACCAGAAGATTCACCTCCAAGAACAGTGATAGAGATTCTGGAGAACATGGCAACGTTTACTGCTGCATCTCGGAAAATACAGGGTTTCTGCTGAAGTCTTCTACACAGAACTATCACAAGCTAGTGACAGACAGGGCTGTGGACCGAGAGGAGATCTCTGAGTACAACATCACCATCACAGCCACTGACAGGGGTAAACTGTCCCTCTCCTCCAGCACAAGCATCATCCTGCACATCTCAGATGTCAATGACAATGCACAGGTTTTCCAGCAGGCCTCCTATAAGGTCCATGTAGCTGAGAACAAGCTTCCTGGGGTCTCCATTGCTCAAGTCGGAGCCTCTGACCCTGACCTGAGAACCGATGGGTGAGTCTCCTACTCCACGGCGGCCAGCGACATGGAGCCTAGAGCGCTGCTGTCCTACCGGTCCCTTAGCACACAGAGCAGGGTGGTGTTCGCGCACGGAGAGGGGTGGTGTTCGCGCAGCACGCCTTCGACCACGAGCAGCTGCGCGCCTTCCAGCTCACGCTGCAGGCCCGCCACCACTGCTCGCCCCGCTCAGCGCCAACGTGAGCCTGCAAGTGCTGGTGGGAGACTGCAATGACAACGCGCCGCAGGTGCTGTACCCCGCTCTGGGGCCCGACAGCTCAGCGCTCTTCGACATGGTGCCGTGCGCCGCCGAGCCTGGCTACCTGGTCACCAAGGCGGTGGCTGTGGACACTGACTCGGGACAAAATGCGTGGCTGTCCTACCACGTGCTTCAGGCCAGCGACCCTGGGCTCTTCAGCCTGGGGCTGCGCACTGGCGAGGTGCGCATCGCTTGCGCCTTAGGCGATAAAGACGCTGCCCGACACCGCCTGCTGGTGGCGGTGCGTGACAAAGGACAGCCTCCTCTTTTGGCCACAGCCACGTTGCATCTCATTTTCGCGGACAGTTGCGAGACGTCTTGCCGGACCTCAGTGAAGGGTCTGTACCCTCTGACCTCCCAGAAGGAGCTGCAGTTTTACCTGGTGGTGGCCTTGGCCTTGATCTCTGTGCTCTTTCTCCTCGCTGTGATTCTAGCGGTTGCTCTGCGCCTGCGCCACTCCTCCAGCCCAGCTCCAGGGAGCTGTTTGCAGCCTGGTCTAAGCTCCAACTCTGGACCCGTGGTTCCCTCTCACTACGTTGAGAGGACTTTGCCATTTTCCTACAATCTGTGCATTGCCTCTGTTCTGCAAAGGCAGAGTTTAATTTTCTTAATGTGACATTGGAAGTGGCTCCCCCTCAGGATCTCCTGTGCGATGCTCCTTGTGCGGTTGCATGTGCCAGTAATGAAGATCCAAACTAGTTTTTGACTCTTCTTTTTCCTCCCACAAAAGTGTTTGCAATCCTGTTTGAAGTTTATGTATTTCCTTCGCTTCTCAATCGTGCATGATTAACTTTGGAAGTTTTCCATGTTTTTAATGATGATACCTGGGATATGGGCTTTTGGGATGGTGGAAAATATCTCCGTCCTCTTTGAAATTGTCTGCTTGGTAATTTTTGGTTTTACTGTTGACATTCTGTATGGTTGGCGAATCTTGCAAGAAACAGTGATATTTTGGATGTCAACTCTTCTGATAATATCAGTTACCCTTTTATCCAAGTGAAACTATTTTTTCAAGTAATCCTGTTTAACCCTATTAACTATAAAAGTTAAAATATATCTTCATCTTTATAAATTTCATTTGTAGCTGTCTAACTTTGCTTAGGATAAACCTCCCATAACTAAGCCTTTTTTTTTTTTTCAGAATGGGGGATTGAACTCAGACCATTGCGCTTGCCAGGGAAGCGCTTATTCCTCTAAGCCATCTCCCCGGCCTAAGCCTCTTAACACTTAGTTGTTTTATTATAAGTAGCACAGATTCAAATTGTTCATTAAATCACTAACTTTGGATCCCATAATTTCACTGCAGTGTATTTCACAAATTGCATAACCAGCCTTTAGTCATTTATTTTATGCTCTTGTACTGTTTTATTATAATGAGTAAGGTAATGTACATTTTATTTATAGAGAATTTCCTACATTTCTTCTTTCTTTTGTACAGAGTTTTGAAAAAATTAGTCAATTGTATGTGTGTTCTGAGTTTTTTTTAAAAAGACACATTTACTCATTGTCATGATCAGACTGTTGCATTTAGCAATCAACAGCATGAGCGCCAAAACAGTTCTACATTAAAACCCTTTGTTGGAATGCTTCATATTTTCCACAGAACATAAACTAAAATAACCTGTTATACAATTAATGACAAATACGGTCCTCAAGTTTTTTGCTCATATGCATGAGTATTGTCTGAAACATGTCTTCTTTGTAGCAGCTAGGCCCTGCCACCACTGTACATAGCTGAGTTCACAAATCTGTGGTTAACTGTAGCATCCCTGCCACTTCTCTGGCTCTCCTCTCCTCCTAAGCTTTGTTTCCTGCAAGTGTTTAAAATCTTCTGCCACTGCCATAGCTGCTGCTGCTGCTGCTGGAGCCACCATAACCATCTTGATTTCATGGTTTGGTAAAATATTGGCCTCCACCACCTTAGGGCTCAGAGCTTCTGCCTCCAAAGTTTCCTTCATGGGTCCAAAATTTGAAGACTGTTGTAATTGCCAAATTCATTATAGCTTCCACCAACCACCGCCATAATTGCTTCCATCATTACCAAATCCATTATACCATCTCCACTGCCACTATATCCACCCCACCATGGCTGCCACCAAAGCCCCCTCGACCACTGAAGTTTCCTCCAGGACTGAAACTGTCATTACCATCAAAACCACCTCCACTACCACCACCAACATTTCCAGAACCACGTCGACCTCTTTGGCTAGATGAAGCACTAGCCATCTGCTTCAACAGGCCTTTCCTCACTTAACAATTGTAGCTGTTCACAGTGTGGTTTTTTGAATAACAGTCTTATCCACAGAATCATAGTCATCAAAGGTTACAAAAGCAAAGCCGGTCTTATTTCTTCTGCCTCTGTCAGTCATAATTTCACTTTTATTTGATTAAATCAAATCACTTTGATTTTTCCACATTGTTCAAGATAGTCTCATAGGTGATGTTCTTCAGTATCTTCTTTAATGGCACCAACAAAGGTCTTCTTCACTATTAAGTGGGCACCTGATGTCTGAGAATCTTCTCTTGAGACAGCTCTCTTTGGTTCCACAACTCTTCTATCCAGCATTACATTCATGGCTGCATCCACCTCTTCCACAGTGGCATATGTGAAAAACCCAAAGCCCATGGCATGCTTGGTGTTTGTGTTTCTCATCACATGTGACTGTTCCCCATTGCTCAAAATGGCTCCTCAGACTCTCATCATTTGTTTCAAAGCTCATCCCTCTGATGAAGAGCTTCAGTAGCCATTCAGGCTCTGTGGGAGACTCTTACTTAGAAATGAGGGCAGTTGGAAGAAAGTGACGATGCATCCTCCGTGGTGTCCACCAGCAAAAAGGAATAAGATACTCTGAGACTTTATTTATAGCATCCAATTTATTTCCAGAATGCCTCATTGTAATGTCCCACTTGCTAGCAGTTAGTGACTCTTTTAAGGATTGTGGGGGAAAAAAACACCTTTAGTCCACTCTCTGAAAATCTGAAGATGTAAAATTTCTATATAGATAGCAAACTTTTATGTCTCATTAAAATTTAGTCAATGATGTATGCTAATTATTAATTGAAGAATAACCTAAAGAGCTAGTGATATACTGCTTTTTCTCAAAATTTCTTAACTCAAGAAAGCCATGAGGGGATTTTGGTCATAGCTGAGTGGTAGAGCACATACCTAGCATGCTTGAGGTGCTCAGCAATCCCCAGCTCCACAAAACACTACACATTCCATAACAATGCATAGGCAGCTACTAAAATATTTCCTTTTACTGCTGTTTCTAAAATCAAAACCAAAGAAATAAAAATAGCCAGACATGATGACATAGACCTATAATCCCAGCCTTTGGGAGGTTGACGCAGGATCATCATGAGTTCAAGACACCTTGGACTACACAGCAAGCAAGACCCTGTGTCAAAAAAAGAGAAAAGAAATAAAAATAGTGGTAAAATGACACCACATGTGATACTTAACTAAGACTACAGGAGGTATATGATATGTTTATAAAGACACTGAAATACTGTCTGCTCTTTGTATTACCTCAGTCTACTGATTCTCACCCATTGCTTGAGGTTTTTGTTTGTTTTGATACTTCACTCATTAAACACTGAAAATATTGTAGATAATATTGAGTGCCTATGTGAAAGTTGCTATTGTAAAGATACACTGTGAAGCAAATAATCACAGGCATATCTTGTCAGTTAGATTCTGCTCTATACAAAATTCTTGAGCAAATTTTCAACCCAAGTAGCAAATCATTCTTGCCATGCCAATTTTATGCAAAGGTAAGACTATCCCTTGAAAACCAGGTATCCTGTTGGAAAAGCATTGAAAACAACTCCCATGATCTAAAAGATAAATGAAGGTGAAGAAACATCTCTTCATGGGTGAGCACCAGAGCTGGCCTTCCAAGAAAAGACCACTGCTGACTTTTCACCCATCATTTTCCTCCACACTTCAAGTTCGCTCTTGTCCCTGGGGAAATGGATGTGCTGCACATACACAACACACTACACACACCAAAAAACAGAAAGCGACAGAGGTTAACAATGAAAACCTGAAAGGAAGTATGACAGCTGCCAAAAATAACCACTTTCCTGAGAAATAAATACCTTACAGTGTAGCATACACGGAAATTTGGATCATTCCTCGATTTTCACTGCAAGTTAAACGAACAAGTTAAACAATGGGATTTTGAATTTTAGTCTATTTGGGAAAAATAGAATTAGAAATGTGAAAGATACGTAAAAGAGTATGATGTAATAACAGGTTAGGACTCTGAGCGTCGCTGTTCACCAATCCTGGGAAAAAGACAACCAGAAACATCAGAACTAGATTTCTGCAGCACAAAGCCACTGGTTCTGGGGCTTTAGGAAAGCTTCAGCCTGGATCCCCGTGAGTGCCAGCAACCTATGACCAAAGCACATCATTCGGGAACCCAGCGGTCATAGGGCTCCTTGGGGCTCCACGGAGAAACACCCAGCTCGGAATATCCGTCACGGAAAGGGAATGGCGACTCCTCCTCACTCACCAGGCTACAAAGCACTGCTCTGCATCTGCATACTCCTCCGGACTCTGTGGGAAACCCGGGCAGAACAGATCTGCTACTCGGTGCCCGAGGAGGTGGAGAAAGGCTCTGTGGTGGGCAGCATCGCCAAAGACCTGGGGCTGGAGCCCCAGAAGCTGGCTGAGCGCGGAGTTCGCATCGTCTCCAGAGGTAAGACCCAGCTCTTTGCTCTGAATCCGCGGAGCGGCAGCTTGGTCACAGCAGGCAGGATAGACCGAGAGGAGCTCTGTGACCGAGCTCCAAAGTGTGTGGCAAACCTAGAGATTCTCCTAGAGGATAAAGTAAAAATCTTTGAAATAGAAGTGGAAATAATCGATATTAATGATAACCCACCCACCTTTGCAACAGAGCAGAGGGAAATAAAAGTTGTTGAACTTGAAATTCCTGGGACAAGATTTCCTCTCCCAGAGGCTTTCGATCCGGATATAGGGATAAATTCGCTGCAGAGTTACCAACTCAGCTCCAATGCTCATTTCTCCCTGGATGTGCAAAGCGGGGCAGATGGGATTAAGTACCCAGAGCTGGTGCTGGAGCGTGCCCTAGACCACGAGGAACAGTCAGTTCACCACCTTGTACTCACCGCCTTGGATGGAGGAGACCCAGTGCGCTCTAGCACTGCCAGGATCCATGTAACACTTATAGATATCAATGACAATGCTCCTGTCTTTACTCACCCTGAGTACCTTGTAAGTGTTCATGAGAACTTGCCCATTGGCACTCGGCTCCTCACGATAAAAGCCACTGATCCAGATGAAGGACCCAATGGGGAAGTGACATATTCCTTCCGGAAAGTAAGAGACAAAATATCCCAGCTATTTCAGTTAAATTCTTTGAGCGG